GCGAGGTATCTAGTTTCACGCGGTTTAAACAAATATGCTTAGCACCAAGCTACCGCGGTTTCCCCTCCTCTTCCTCGAAATCTGTACTAAAACCCTGGGTGGGGATGTTTATAAAAACTGACCAGTTACAGAGAGGAAATGAGCCCGCACGCTTCAGTTTTAAGTTTTTTCCGGCTTTATTTTAGCCCGTTCCTAAACAGCTTTACAACACCGGAATTTAATTTATGGTGAGTCAACGCGGCACGCTGGCCTTTTTTTTTCCCGTCTCGTTTATTCTGAGATTATCTTATCAGATTTTACTGAAAGGCAGGTATTGATTCGTATTCGCCTGATTTCTGATTATTGGTGTCCACGCTTGGAAAAAAACAAGGTTTAAGCGGATTTTAGAAACTGTGTGCTCACTGCATCCTGCAAAAATTCGTGTAGGAACATTTCATAGTTGTGTGGATTTTTACACAGATAAATAGAGTTTAGTGGCAACATTATAATACTGTAAAAAGAGAGAAATCAATATGAGCTCAAGTGATACATGAAAACACAATTAGAATAGGTGAAAGTATTTGAGACATAGTTTATGTTTCGACTTAGAAGACGAGAGTTTAAACTGCATATAACGCTTCGTGTGTATAGATTAATTTTTGGTTGATTTGTAAAGTCCATTCGGAAATAAATCAGAGTAGAAATTAATAAGTATACTGAGACTAGAATTCCTCTTCAAAAGAAAAACAAGTTTAAATATTTAAATCAAGAATATGTGTTACAAACGCCTTTTCACAGATGTCAGGGAAAAAATATCAGTAACACAACCGATTCCCCAAATGTATGTGCAAATATCATCGTTATTTAGAGACTAGGAACCCATACATCTATTCTCAAATGAACGCAACTTCTGTTATCAGTAATCTGGTTTCATTGTTCAGTTAACACAAGGGCAATTATGTTGTCTTTGATGCTGGAGAACGAAGAATTGACAAGTACAATTGTCCACACGATCAAGTGCGATCGTACGGATAGCTGTCTTTTATCTGCGAATCATGTTTGGTTATCTCTGTAATTGTCTCCTTTCCCTTGAAATATGAGAAGAGAACTCCAACTGCACTATTCTCAACGAGAGCTTCTCAGATACATGCACTTTGTGACCTACATGTTGAAAATAGTCATGGCCACGGGCTAGAGGCATCAGCACCAAAATAGAAAGATTATTAGTACAATTTAGTTGGCAGCGATCCGCGTGCCACTTGATAGGCTTCCGCGAACCAGGTTTCGTCAATGTCTGTCTGTTTGTCTGTGTGTGTGTGTGTGTGTGTCTGTCTGTCTGTCTGTCTGTCTGTCTGTCTGTCTGTCTGTCTGTCTGTCTGTCTGAATGAATGAATGAATGTACGCACGCACGCACGTACGTATGTATGTAAATATGTATGTATGTATGTATGTATGTATGTATGTATGTATGTATGTATGTATGTATGTATGTATGTATGTATGTATGTATGTATGTATGTATGTATGTATGTATGTATGTATGTATGTATGTATGTATGTATGTATGTATGTATGTATGTATGTATGTATGTATGTATGTATGTATGTATGTATGTATGTATGTATGTATGTATGTATGTATGTATGTATGTATGTATGTATGTATGTATGTATGTATGTATGTATGTATGTATGTATGTATGTATGTATGTATGTATGTATGTATGTATGTATGTATGTATGTATGTATGTATGTATGTATGTATGTATGTATGTATGTATGTATGTATGTATGTATGTATGTATGTATGTATGTATGTATGTATGTATGTATGTATGTATGTATGTATGTATGTATGTATGTATGTATGTATGTATGTATGTATGTATGTATGTATGTATGTATGTATGTATGTATGTATGTATGTATGTATGTATGTATGTATGTATGTATGTATGTATGTATGTATGTATGTATGTATGTATGTATGTATGTATGTATGTATGTATGTATGTATGTATGTATGTATGTATGTATGTATGTATGTATGTATGTATGTATGTATGTATGTATGTATGTATGTATGTATGTATGTATGTATGTATGTATGTATGTATGTATGTATGTATGTATGTATGTATGTATGTATGTATGTATGTATGTATGTATGTATGTGTATGTATGTATGTATGTATGTATGTATGTATGTATGTATGTATGTATGTATGTATGTATGTATGTATGTATGTATGTATGTATGTATGTATGTATGTATGTATGTATGTATGTATGTATGTATGTATGTATGTATGTATGTATGTATGTATGTATGTATGTATGTATGTATGTATGTATGTATGTATGTATGTATGTATGTATGTATGTATGTATGTATGTATGTATGTATGTATGTATGTATGCATGCATGCATGCATGCATGCATGCATGTTTGTATGTATGCATGCATGCATGCATGCGTGCGTGCGTGCTTGCGTGCGTGCGTGCGTGCGTGCGTGCGTGCGTGTGTGTGTGTATGTATGTATATATGTGTGTGTGTGTGTATGTATGTATGTATGTATGTATGTATGTATGTATGTATGTATGTATGTATGTATGTATGTATGTATGTATGTATGTATGTATGTATGTATGTATGTATGTATGTATGTATGTATGTATGTATGTATGTATGTATGTATGTATGTATGTATGTATGTATGTATGTATGTATGTATGTATGTATGTATGTGTGTGTGTATGTATGTATGTATGTATGTATGTATGTATGTATGTATGTATGTATGTATGTATGTATGTATGTATGTATGTATGTATGTATGTATGTATGTATGTATGTATGTGTATATGTATTAAACCCAAGTAACAATGTCAACATGTCGATTTATGAGTTTTTATTCCACAACCAAAACAATTGAAATGTGGCCTTCAGCGTCGTTTCTCTATGGTACTTTCCCCGTAGCTTTACGGTGAGACAAAAATAGCTATCATTTATCAGCTGCCCAGCTACCGGCACGAAACAATAAATTCCATTTTCTGTCACACTCGTATTTTGCTAAGTAATAAAAGATAACAAACTGAAAGCAGCAACTGTGCTTTATGTAGTAATAACTATCGTTGACTTGTAGAAAGTTTTACCTGTTAGATAAATTATACTGATTTTATGATAGGATGTGATTGTCAAATCATCGAAAGTAAACTACATACATTTGATTGTCAACATTTTTGTAGGAAAGAGGTGCTTACTGTAAACTATACTCCATTGTGTGTTTTAGTGCCTTATTTTTAGGGGGAAATGTGATTGGGGGGGGGGGGGGATAATAAACCCAACGCCCTTCCAAACAACATCGTAGATAGCGAGAAAATTATTGTGTCCCCCCTTCCCCCCACCCCCCCTTTCCCCTTTTCGAAGTCAGAGTGTTTTTGCATGAAAGTCGAAGAATCGAAAGTCTGCAAACAAATAGGCCAGATCTATTAAACGGATGTGCACAAAATACTAAGGCTCCGGGACAAGTCTAGAGCCCAGAAGTTTGAGTCCGAAGAAGCTCAGCACAGTGCACAGGCTCTGTAGCACTGGTGAGGATCCTGAAATACTGTGGGTAGATGTTTAACTTCAAATTTTGCCAGGCTCTCTAGCGTAGTTGGCTAAACCGGATTGCGCGGTGACCGGGTGACGAACTCCTTGTGGTCCATGTTCAATCCCGGAGGTAGGCAGAAAAGCCACATTTTCTCCCAGATTTACGGAATAATCAATGAAATCAAGGCTGAAAGGTTGCGATATCCATAATACTGAGCCTAAGGGTTAACAACTCATGGCTTTTGGATACTAAAACAAACAAACAAACAACAACTCCAAATTTTCAAGGTGTGGTCACGTCTGGAACTGCTACAAGCAGTGTTGGGGGCAGCTGTAACTGCTACAAGCAGTGTTGGGGGCAGCTGTAACTGCTACAAGCAGTGTTGGGGGCAGCTGTAACTGCTACAAGCAGTGTTGGGGGCAGCTGTAACTGCTGCAAGCAGTGTTGGGGGCAGCTGTAACTGCTGCAAGCAGTGTTGGGGTAGCAAGCTCTCCTAGGATGGTGAAAAAAGGACATTAGTAGTATGCTGCTGATAACGCAAGCCAACCCCACTTCACCGTGGTGCAGACTGAAAACAGACTGTAAGTATACAGGCTAACGGGGAAATAGCCTCCTGGAAAGGATTGAGGTTTAAATGCTGTTCGAGATGCACCATGTTGACTCATTAATTAGAATACTGCAGGGCGCAGCTGAGGGGGAAAGGAGAAGAGGCAAACTCAGAAAGACCTGGGCACAGAACTGGCTGGACACGCCATGGGTATGCAGCCGTGACGTCCATTGCATCTGACCGTCAAAGATGGCGGGAGCTGATCAGTAAACAGCAACTGGAGTCCCAACGACACGAAATGTAAGGAAACGATGTGATGAAACTGTACAAACAAACTTAACTTCCTACGTGGATTTTGGGACCTCCTTTGGGAGGGTGAGGGAGAGGAGAACAGATCCATTGTCCTCAAACAACAATGTCGTAGGACGCGATTAATTAGAGGTGTTTAATTCGAAGGAGTCATCTGTCTGACAACAAAGAATCAACAGTCTGCACACAGTGAAGCCAGAGCTATAAAATGGATGCACACGCAAAACTGAGGTCCTTGGAAAACGAAATTTTCTCTCTCACTAGAATGTATAACCGGTAAACGCAAACAAATAAACCATAAACCTGTCGAGATTCAATGGAATATGCTAAAAATAAGTGTGCAATATATTATGGGTGTTCTCAATATTTAAACTCCCAATTTACTTTTAAAAATTGATTATTAAAGAAATTTGTTTTGTTTGTTTAAAGAGTTCAATAAATACAGTAAGGAAATAACTATTTACAAATAAATGTGAAAGATCAAAGAGTGTGAAAATTAAATTAAAACAGACATACAAGACTGTACAAATGAACTACACTTAAGCAAAATATACAAGAATCCTGAGACATGGATGATTCATTTATCAAAGAAAGTTGTAAAAGCTACCAAAAATGTCACATAGCAAATTCAGCCCGCCGGAATTCCCTGACAAAAAAGACAATTGGAATCGAGTTTGAACGGAAACTGGCCAGTCACCAGCTGGACAGGGAGGAGCGTCAACTGAGAGAGCACCTGAAGTTTATGAAGATGGAGCAGGCCAAGTCGATAACGACTAACGGCATCCGAGGTGAGTAGTCTTCTTTCAGAGTATACAGTAAAACCTTGTCAAAACAAACTCTCTTAAACACGAACAGCATGATGGTCCCAGTGGTAACATAATGGGGATCATCGGGATCAAGCCCTGGTGAAGGCTGGGGTATTTTTACCTGACTTCTGGTAATTTCCCCTGGTCTCTGAGCAGTAAGAGTGTGTATTGTTGCGCACGTAAACAAATCGTAAAGAGTAGCCTAACGGCGCTGCCCGGACACAATCTGGAGTTTAAAATCTACCCAAAGTATTCTACGATCCTCGCCGGGGCTACGGAGTTCGTGTACTGCGCTGAGATTCTTCAGACTTAGGCTTGAGTCAGAAGTGGAACGGAGCACTTATTGGTTACTACCAGTGTGCCATGATGTTGATCTGTCGTCTCAACCATGTAAACCATATATTATTCATAATACATTTATTTGTCCCAGGTTGGCACGCTTTTTTTTCAAAAACAAACTCATGCTTTTCCGGTGGCTCAGAGTTTGTGTTAACAAGGTTTTACTGTAGTTATCTAAAGCGATGTTTTTCCGTTGTGAATTTGAACGAAGAAGACACAAACAATAGATTGCACAATTTATTGCCTGACAAATTTTGCTATATCTCATCAGGTGCATACTACAGTAACAATGGATTAAAAATGAATCACATAAATGAATACTTCGAACTGAAACAAAGGAAGGATTCATCTATTTGCTTCATTTAAATCAAATGTTATGCACCTGACCAGATAAGTAAAATATGCCAGGCAATAAATGGTGCAGTCTATTGTTTGTGTCTTCTTTGTTGTTATTTAGTTGCGTAAAGTTTAAAAAAAGGTCTTCTCATGTCTTTTGCACAGCATCCATCTACTAATTATCAACTATCAGTCGCAGGTTTAACTTCACGGCAAATTGATCACCCAATAATTTGGTTCGTTCCTATGCCAGCAAAAACCACACAAAATGCATACCCTCCCCCACCCCCAATCCCCCTTTTTTTCCCCAATGAAAATCCAACTAGACAACAGTCCTTGCAAAAAATCTAGCACCCAGTTCACATATTAAATGCTTAAGATAGCCGCTATATGTGCAAGCACTGACTTTAAAAAAAAAAAACTAGAATTGCAGTCCATTGTTGGTAGAAGTAGCAGTCACGACAAACCAGCAGAAGCATACGAATTTCTACATAAGATGTACCGCCAGTTTTGTGGCAACCAGCTACCCCTATTTTCTGAATATTCAGTTATAGTGCATGTGGTGGTAGACCTGTCTATTTCTAGACCAATAGGCACTCTTTTTGGGTGATGTGATCATCACCTTAAACGATGGCCTTTTCTTCTCAAAATATTTCGTGTTACCTATTTAGGCTATGTCGACCTGGCAGACCAAGTCATTTATAAGCTGAAATAACCATGCACACGATTTAGGTTTGAATCTACCACCTTCAGGGCGAGAGTCTAGCATCTAGTCACTGCGGTTATCAAATTACTCAGCTAACGTAGAATAATTAAAAGATCCTTTTTACGCCAGAGACTCAAAAGACCTGAACCTCCAGGTTCCAACAATATGGTAGTGAATCCAAAGCAGGGGGAAGACTTGTTTCTCAGCACAACCGAAGCAGAATATCTACATAATAGTCTGAACTTTGAAGACTCGACAATTGGCATCCATTCATGCCATAACTTTCAGTGTTTTTTTTTAAACAATCAACCCCACCAGTTTAACGGGAAATATCGTCCAATACCATGGTTCCATATACGCACCACTTCAAGTGACTGCCAATAAACAAAGAGTTAATAATCATGTTATACCCATTGTGTACTGTTAAAACCCCATTTTCCAAGCAGTGCCCTACGACTGTAACACCGCGTTAAGACTGTGCTTTGGTGCAAATGTTGATGAGAATAATGTCCACTTGAACGAGATTCGTTTTTATAAACAGATTTGTCACTGGATACGGACCATAAAGCCGACATCAGTCTGTGGTCCGCTGACAGGATGTTTAGTGCTTGTTTGTATGGGGTCAGCCAGGAATAAACCGGGAGTTAGAACTGTTTAATGACATGTGATGGAGACAAATGTCTGGACAATCTGTTACTGTTTACTATACAGACAATTAAGCAGACATGCCGAAAAACACATACAAATGTCATGAAATGATAGAAGATAAAAAAACTGGCAGTTTTCCCTGAGATAGATAAAAGTAACAAACTTATTAGAAAAATAATGCGTATTAAGTCAGTGTATTTTTCTTTTGTTATGACTTGGAAAGGAGAATGTGATAGAAAAGGAGCTGGGAGAAGGAAACAAGATAAATGGTTTGCTGCATGGAGAGGGAACGAACTTTATTTTCAGCTTATACATAGCATTAGAAAGAACGCACTTCGATGAAATAACAAGAAAGAACGAACGAACGAACCAACAAACTTTATTTTCAAAGGGTTAAAAATTGGGCACGCTGGCCCGCCTAACATTCTGCCCTTCCACTCTGCTCCTTGCATACAATTTTTCATAGTTAATAATAATAATAATAATAATAATAATAATAATAATAATAATAATAATAATAATAATAATAATAATAATAATAATAATAATAATAAAGGAATAAAAAAAATAAAAAATATCAGAATTAAAGAAAATAAAAAAAAAATAAAAAAATGAAATAAAAAACAATGTTTACAATCTAAGTCTTAATTATGCTGGAATGTGCTCTAATTATACTGACATTACTAAACGTTTTAAAGAGTAGAGTAATAAGCCTATCCCCCCATCCTTCCCCTCCCCCCCCCCCCCCCCCCCCCCCCCCCCCCCCGCCCCCAAATGAAATAAGTCTTACAGGTTGAATAATATAAACATCATCAACGTGAATTAAATATTAATTACAAACATTGGAATGCGTTTGACTGGCATCTTCATTTTTAAGCAATGATAACCTTCAGTTTTTAAACCCCAAAAAGAAAAAAAAAATTAATAAGACATCTCATGCAAATACATCGTAGCCTTAACATACTATAATCTTTTAAGGGGGCCTATAGTCTGTAGTGAGATAATATTCAAATAGTATAGAGGTTATTGATATTTTTTATTTCCCGTGGAAGATTATTCCACAGCTGAACTGCAGAGTACGCTAAGCTTGTTTTGTAAAGGTCTGTTCTAGGTTTAGAGATATGCAATATGTTAGGCGTTTGCTATGACTCCCATTGTATATAATTAATGGCCAAAGGTAACATGGCGCATTTTTATATATTATTTTATGAATAAGTTTAGCTTTATTAAATAGTAGGCGTTCCTGGAGTGGTAATAGCATCAGCTCTTTATAGAGGTACGAACAGTCACTCCCATTACTATTAGCTATTAAACGAACAGCCCTTCTGTGGAGTGCTTTCAGTCATTTGATGACTGAATTTGTACATCTATCCCACATTGTGGAGAAATAGTTTATGTGGGTCAGAATATGAAGAGTATAAAATAATTTCCTTGTGTTTTCATCCAGAAAGGTTTTTTTTTTTTTATTTTTGCTAGTTGGTATACCTTTTTAGCAGTTTGCTTAACAAGATTTTGCACAGGGGAGTTGAAGGTAAGATTTCCATGGATGATCAGGCCTAAAGTTTTGTGCTCAGTTACACTTTCTACTGGGGTGTTACCTAGGTAGAAGTAAAAAAGAGAAGAGTGGAGGCAGAGTGAAAGTGAATGATTGAGTGAGACAGAAAGGAAGAGAGAGAGAGAGAGAGAGAGAGAGAGAGAGAGAGAGAGAGAGAGAGAGAGAGAGAGAGAGAGAGAGAGAGAACGAGCTTTATTTTCAGCTTATACATATAATTAGAAAGAACACACTTCGATAAGAAAACGAGAAAGAGAAGAGGGTGTGTGAGAGTGAAAATGAAAGTGAATGATTGAGTGAGACAGAGAGAGAGAAAGAGAGATAGAGAAAGATATGAGGTGGGATTACAAACACCCTATTGACACAACACAAATGACTAACAAATCATATCATTTTCTAATGCCTAAGGTATGCCATTAATTAAACGAAGTCAACATGACAAAATCGAAACCCAACCCAATAAAATACTCAAAGAACATGTGTGTCGGTTGTGACTGCACCTTTGACATCGAGCCATTAAGTTGTCCTTATCAGTTCACGCTGGCAGACACGAAATACCTGCATGAGAATTAACTCTGGCTTTAACATAACCATGGACATCGTTGCCGTCTTTGAGGTACCCACAATCACAAGGGAACTGGGTGTTTCGTTTCGTAACCCTAATTACCAACACAACACATTCTGTTTATACAGGTAATTGCATATTCTTTACTTACAAGACATTCTAAAGCAAACCCCGCCTATGTGGGCTGTTTGTGGCTTTTCTTTGCGATTTCACGTTCAGTAGTTTGCCATTTATGAACGGTCGGCACCCCCTATGTCAAAACTCAGCGTAAAGAGATATGCTGTCATATCGTCTGCCGTTAAATCGAATCAGGTAATTGGGAATTACACACTGCGTTTGTAATCTCTGCCACAAAGGACTACTCCTGTTTTTAAGAAGGAAAAATAAACGACAGGGGCCGCCATGGTGTAGCGGCTAGATGCTCGCATGTGGACCCGAAAGTTGTGGACTCAGATCCTGACTTTTTTTCTTCTTCAAAAATTACTTGCTCCCAGGTCGATCCAACCTTAAATTGGTGCCGGTACAGTTCTGGGAAGGAAAGACTGCCAGTGTGATCCTGCCCACCGAGTGCCGATTGGTCTATAAAATATAGGTCTAGCCATGGCCGAACTTTAGTACAGGCCTAGCTACTGACGTCATCAGCGGGACGTGACGTCACCGCCGCTGGCTAACGTTGTTACTTTTTCACTCAGACAGTACCTGTTTTTTTTGTTGTTGTTCCCGGCCGTCCCCTGAGTACTAGCCCACAAAAAGTATAGCAGTAAGCTCATGGCTATTCAACAGTCAGCCCGCGGACCAAATTTGGCCCGCTGAGGCCTAGCGAGTGGCCCGCGGAT